TATGTTAGGTGCATAGAAGGCAGGAGGGTTCTCGACCATCAAGTGAAGCTTCCTGGAGGAAGTGTGGGAGGGAGGGAGGGAGGAGGGGTAAGGGTATCCAGGGAGAAGGACTGGTACAGACAAGCTAGAGGGAGTCTGGAGACAGTGATTTTTAATGCTTATTTATAGGAATCTCTTTGTTGGAGGGATGTGGTTGGTGGTTGGGAGAGGCAAGTGCCTTTTTTGATTTTCAAGTTTACCTCCTCAGAACAGTAAAAAGAATCAGGAGACCTGGTTTCTCATCTTGGCTCTTCCAGAAAGACTGAAACCTCCTCTCAGGACCTCAGTTTCTCTATCTGTAAAACAGGGGGAAGCCAGGCTAATTCATCTCTCTGGTCCCCTCCAGTTTTAATATTTTCTAATTTCTACACTCACACCCTCCCCCACAATCAGGTGAACATTCCAGATTGGATTGTTGAACTTCGCCATGAGTTGACCCACAAGAAAATGCCTCATATAAATGACTGCCGCAGAGGTGAATCCCCAGGGAGTATATCTATCACAAGCCCAGGGACCTGGGTTGGGTGGCTCTGTGGGGAGAGGGAGAGGGAGGAGGGTCTTCACTTGGGGTCAGAGCCAGGACTAGGGTGAGGGAAGTGAGGCACTCGTCTTGGGCACAAACTTGAAAGGGGAGTCAAAAAGCTCAATATTCAAGATAGATAACATTTTAATATGGAAAAACCCACAATGAACAAAATAACCAACATTTTATTTTTTATTTGTTTATTTGCTTTTTTTAAGTCCTCACCCAAGGATATTTTCTCCATTGCTTTTCAGAGAGTAGAAGGGGGGTAGAGAGAGAGAGAGAGAGAGAGAAACATCAATTGGTTGCCTCCCACATGAGCCCCAACCAGGGCCGGGGATCAAACCTGCAACTGAGGTACATCCCCTTGGCTGGAATTGAATCCGGGACCCTTCAGTCCACAGGCTGATGCTCTAGCCACTGAGCAAAACTAACCAACATTTTAAAATGAACACAGGATTCGTGTTACTGAATTCTCCTTTTGCTTTAGACTCCAATATGGCTTGGCAGAGCACTGTTCTGATCTCAATTATGGAGTTTTTCTGGCATCCCCTTAAGTTTTGTGCCTGAGGAGGAGGTGAGTGGGAGTGGGTTGAGAGGTGTGTGCCGTCAAGTGTCATGAACCTAGGCGTTCTTGGGACACTCCATTCCAACTAAGAGCCCCTGATTCAGCCTAGCCCCTTCATGTTGGGGAAACTGAGTTCTAGAAAAGGGAAGAGACTTGGCCAAGGCCGTGTAACTAGCTAGTGGGACTATTCCTATTCTCCTACTTGACAGCCCTGTGCCATTTTTGGCATCCCATCTGTAAGTCTGGTATTAGTTTTTTTCTAGGCAAGGTGCTAGTAAGCAGGAGAAAGCAAAGGATAAGGCTAAATCAGAGGAAGAGGGCCTGTTTCTGGATGTTTAAGATTTGTGCCTTCTTGGAGCCAAGCCTCTTCTCTTGGGCCTTCCCACAGTGCTTGCAAGGATGAGGCTGGGGGCCTGCGAGGAGCTTGCCTGTTGCTGCTCCTATGGCACTGCCTTCCTTCCTCCCCTCCTTCAGGTTGCTATTTTGTCCTGGGTTGGCTCCAGAAGACCTACTGGTGCCGCCAGCTGGAGAACAGCCTGAGAGAGACCTGGGAGTTGGAGGAGGACAAGGAAGAGACAGATGAAGACAACCAAGAAGAATCAAAGGACATTGTTGATGATATCACAGAACAGAAACCAAAGCCTAAGGATGAGGGGAAAGGTGCAGAGCTGGATGTCAGGGCTGATGGAGACAGCACAGGCGACAAAGAAGTTGATATGCACTGGGAAAAGGCTCAGAGACATAAAGAACTATATGGTAGGTGTCCTTTGTGGGGAGCAGAGAGGGACCCATGAGCCTGGAAGACTCAGCCTTAGGGTTGTCATTGGTTATTTTCCACGCATAGCATTTTGTTTGAGATTGTGGTGAGTCTTAGCTTAGAAGAATTATTGTCACAAACCATCTTCCTTGAACCCTGTGAAGCAGAGGCAATAATTCTGTTTACTCAACAAATGAGGTGAGAGAGGCTCAGAATCCCATGAGTAGAAGGGGCTGGGCTGGCTGCCCTATCTGTTTCTCTCTTTTGTTTTCAGAAAGAGCCCGAGAACTATTGGTATCATACGAAGAGGAGCAGTTTAAGGTAAGAAAGTGCCCTTGACTTGGCATATTCTCACCTGCCCCAGCCATTTCTTCCCTTTTGCCAGCTACCTGAGAGAAGTCCTGAGAAGGAATTTGAAAGAAAAGTGGCAAAGCTTGAGGGAACTTCTCGGTAAGAGATAGCG